CGGGCCTAGCAAGATCTGCGGGAAGACCTGCTCCCACATGAGGCAACTGAGGCCCAGAGTGAAGTGAGTTAGTGTCTCCAAGGCGGGTCTCTGGGCGCTCGCACTGTGGGCAGCGTGGCGGTGAGCCTCCCCACCCAGGGGCGCCAGGGGTGCCAGCTCGGCCCGCCTGGACCAGGCACAGGTGAAGGCAGTGAGCACCTCCCTGGTCGCTGGTGTGCGCGAGGCGGGGGCAGGTGGGCAGCCCTGGATCGGCACTGTCAGTGTGAGAAGGTGGGCAGAGGAGGCTCGGGTGGTGGGTGGGTCTGAGTATGGCAGACAGTGAACCCACATTTGGGGTGCAGAGGCCCCGGATGCCTCTCTGGTCAAGACAGGGGCTGGAAAGGGGTCCCAGCCTCCCTGGTCGAGGTTCTGAGTCCCTCGCCAGCCATACAAGCCCGGGCACATCATCTCACTTCTTGGTACCTCCTCGGTGCCAGGGCGCCGATCCTATTGCCCAGCTACGTGTTGTGAGCGGCAGGGGTGGATGGGAAGGCGCGAGGACCTTCAGAGCGGGTGCTGGCCATTCAGAGAAGCACCGGGAGGATGTGCTGCCTTGGTCCCTGAGCTCGGGGTGCAGGGACTGCGTACCGTGGCACCAGCCTGGGGGGCCAGGGAGTCCTCAGGGAGTGCACGGTCAGCTGAAACCGGTTTGGCTCAGTGGATAGAGCGTCGGCCTGCCGACTGAAAGGTCCCAGGTTCGATTCCAGTCAAGGGCATGTAGCTTGGCTGCGGGCACATCCCCGGTAGTGGTGTGCTGCAGGCAGCTGATCGATGATTCTCTCTCATTGATGTTTCTAACTGTCTATCCCTCTCTCTTCCTCTCTGTAAAAAGTCAATAAAATATATTTAAAAAAAAAAAAAAAAAGGAATGCACAGTCTGGTGGGCAGGACTGTACAACCCAGGGTATCCCTGACCTCAAACAGGGCCCAGCCTGCTTCGTGGCAGCTGCGTATCAGCCCCTCCAGCTGCGCTGCCCTCGCTCACTCCACTCCAAGCCACAGGGCCCCCTTCGGCTGCTCAGACGCACCAAGCTCCCCCACCTTGGCGCCCGTAACTGAATGCTGTTCCCTCTGCCTGGAATGCTCTTCCCCCAGGTCCGCCCACAGCTGCCTCCTTCTCCGCGGCTAGGTTTTACCCAGGGATCACCGGCACACAGAGCTTCTGCCCTCTCTCATTATTCTCTCTCTTCTCTGTTCTCCAGGCAGCCCGGGTTCAATCTCGGCAGTGCCACTTCCTTGGCTGTGTGACCTTGCGCAAGTTACTTAACCTCTCTGCCTCATGTCATCTTTAAGGCTGGCACAAAGCTATTATCTGCTGCCGAGTTGTTAGAAGGAATGGCATGCTTGGCACATAGCTAGCGCTTGTGTGGCACTCACCCTACCGTTACTGACACTCAGGCACTGGACAAGGAATCAGCTTTTCCTTCTGTATCTCTTTGACTGTCCTTCCTCTCGGTCTCCCTCATTAGCGGTAGCCCCACACCACAGCCTGGGCTCATCCCAGGGTACTCAGCACCTGACACATGCTGATCCTGTGGAGGGAACAACCGACGTCAGGAAGACATCCTAAGGAAAATGCCATTAATTCTGGGAGCAGGCAGGATGGGAATTGGAATGGGAGATGACAGCCAAGCTGGGTCTTAAAAAACAAACAAGAGTCCTCCAGGGCAGACTAAGGATGCTACGGGTATCTGCCCCTGGCTGGGACTGAGGTTGAAATGTAAGTGTCTGAGCCTTGCCTCTTCCTCCAGGAAGCCTTCTGGGACCACTTCAGCCTGCGTCTGAGCGCCCATCGTCACTCCTTCTTCCAGTAGCTTTTGCACTCCTACATTTAACGGGCGTGTCATTTTATGTCTATGGTTCTCCCCTCCATCCCCGCACAGGGGGGTCCTCAATCGGATGACCCCTGCCATTCATTGTCGGGACCAACCTCAAGGTGATGCACAACCTCTTCACAAACACCCAGACCCCTAGGATGTCAAGGCGGGTGGGGGCCTCAGGGACACCCAGAGGTGGGGAGCGCCTGGTCCAAGGTTATAGGAGAGCAATGGGGCGAAGATAAACTAATCCAGGGTGATCCAACCTCCCCGTATCTGAACTAGCCCCCCTGATGCGGCTGGAGTTTGGGGGTGGGAAGGCGCACCTCCAGCTACCTCGGGTCCAAGGGGAAGCAGTGGGTCGCCACAGAGTGTGGGGAGCAGCATGTGGGTCTGTGGGTTCCTGCCAGCAGCACAGGGCTTCTCAGAAGAGCTGGACAAACAGTTCCGCCCCGTTTCCACAGGAAATTAAGTTCCTGGGCCCCAAATGAATACCGGGACCTGACCTGAGCCAGGCTAGAACTCATGCTGAGCAGGGAGACCCCGCCTCCCACTGAGCTGCCTGCCGGAAGGTTCCTACCAGCCCAGTGTCCAGTGTAGACTGACCCCTGGATGGGAGACGGGAGGACAGGGGGACCTTTCCAGAAGACACAGATGCTCAGTGCTCCTCCGGCCCCCTGCCCCAGCTTGACAGCAGACCCACCACCTCCCTCATCCAGTCATTCCCTCCCTAAAGCCCTCTCTCCCTCCCTGCCTCCCTCCCTCCCACATGCAGAGTGCTTGCTGAGTACCCAATGGTGGGCAGAAGCCAGAACATTCCAACTCCACAATGCCCGCTACCTGCAGAGCCCCAAGATATTTCTCAACCACATGTTTATTTGCCAGCCCCACCCCTGTAAGGTGAGCCCCCACTTTTGTTCCCAGTTTAACATGGATTTCTTTAGTCCCCAGTGAAGAGAGCTGGGCGGGAGGGCAGGGGGTTGGTTTGCTTGCTTTTCATTAAAAATGGCTTTGATAACAGCCCAGAAAACAGGCCCCCAGTCTGTGTTCCTGAGGAACTTGGGGAATTCAGGAGGGAATAAGGGAGTCCAAGGAGATCTGCCATGTAGGCAACAGGTCAAAGGTGGTGATCCAGGCCGGAGTGTTCTCCGCCGGCACGCAGTCACCCGTGTCACCTTGCAGGTCCACTCCCACGCCCCACACCCGGCTCCCCTCCCCGACTCAGTGTGGGTGCAGAAGAGGCATGCCCGGGGCTCGAGTCGGGATGAGTGGGTTGGAATCCCAGCCGGGCTTTCATCAGGCTGAGCCTCAGGTTCTTAAGAGCTCAGACTCGGGAGCCAAATTTGAGTACGTGCTCAAATCTCAGCTCTGCCCCTTCCTACCAGTGTAACCTGGGCAAGTCACTCAACTTCCCGTTTCCTCACCTGGGACGTGGGGATGGCAGCTTTACCAGCCTCCCGGAGAGCGGAGTGAGGTAATTTATACATAGTCTGGGGCCAGGCATGGCCAGCGCTGTGTAAGAAACTGCCAGAAGAGGAGTGTTCTCTTCGTAAAACGGTCGCAGTGACACACCCTCCCCGGCTGCCTTCTCCCAGTTACTGATGAGGATGAAAGAGTCAAGCCAACGGGAGAAGAGTTCAAGAGGATGGAACGTAAGAGAAGCCACAGACAGCCCCAGCCACCTGGAAGCCGCTCTCTGCCCTGGGCTCAGGGAACAGGAGGGAGACACCCCCTGCAGCTCAGATCCCACCCTGGGCCTTGCTTCCCACTTGCCGGCGCCCACCTGGGCATTGAGAATCCCCTGGGGCTTTGGCCCTGCGCCTCGGGGAACTCACTGGCTGATGGAAGAGACTTACTTGTAAGTCTGCCACACAGTCCAGGGCGAGAGGGGACTAACACAGAGGCTCGCTGTGCTGAGAGAAATCTGGGAAGGCTTCTCAGAGGAGGCAGCGTCTGAGCTGAGATCTGAGGGTTCAAAAGCACCTTCCCCGGGAAACCAGTTAGCAGGGGGCGAGAGGAGGCTGGGGGGGGTCCCTCCAGCAGGAAGTACAGTATGTACAACAGCGCGAGGAGAGAACAAGGTTGGTATACTGAGGCAGGGGCAAGCCGTGCAGGAGGACTGCCACCCTAGATGCAGAGGGGAGGGCAGGGTGAGAAGGGGAGAGAGAGATAGGCAGAGCACATTGCCCAAGTCCTTTGGTATCAAGTAAGCAATGTGGACATCATGCTGAAGGCAGCCATCGGAGAAGGTGAGGAATCGCCACACGTACTTTTTGGACGCGGCCCTCAGGGGCAGCTCGGGTGGCAGGGGCTGGATGGGAGACCCGGGAGCCAGGCGGGAGGCTGCATGGAGCCCAAGCTCAGTGGTAATCATGCAGATGGGAGGGGAGGCAGGGAGTGGGTAAGAGATTTCTTTACTTGCCCCCACCCCTTTTAAAAAGGCCTTTCCTGAAAACATCCTCAGGGGCCACCCCCTCTACGCCCAGCACAACCTTTGCCAGGGTGTCCTGACCCCTCCTCCCTCTGTTCCCCAGATCAAAAGCCGGCTGAGCACTGTCTCGTGCCTCCGCATCTAATCTCAGCTCCAAAGTCCCTGGTAAGAGGTTCCCGGGAAACGTTCGCGAGGTCACCTTGCAGGGCGCGTGTCACCAGCCCTCACTCAGTCCTGTACTTGCTCCGCCAAGAGCTTAGAACTCCCCAGAACCCCGGCTTCACCCTGTCGCACTGGCCCACACCCCCGAACCCCTGAACTCTGAGACCACACAGCCACTGAGCTCGTGTGTCCTGCAGAAACTCACACAGACCCCTGCAGGGACACACACACACACACACACACACACACACACACACACACACACCCAGAATCCCAAACACAAAGAACATGCGAAACACTCGCTCTCCACACAGCCCGCCCTGGGGAGCCAGCAGCCCCCGGGGCTGGTGTGGGGGCGTGCTACTATTCATAAAACCAGCCCAGGATCCTGCGATCCCTAAAAAGGTGAGAAAACGGCCCTCGGACAATGAGAGAGGAGACCTAGAACTTCTGACTTAAAATGGAAACTTCAGTTCTCCTCCGGGATCCCCAGATCATCCCCGCCCCTTTGCCTGCCCCCCGCCCCCCCCCCCCCCGCACCCCTTCCATACCTTGCGCAGCTGATTTCCGACATTCTGCACATTCTGCATCATTGTGGCCGAGACCCCACTAGCCAGCCGGCAGCACGCGCGGGCAGCAGCTCCCTCCGCGAGTCACCTGAGCAACAGTCGCTGGCTCCATATGAAGCCTGTGGGCAGTCTCCTCCAGCTCCTCCTCCCGAGCTCCCGCCCCTGCCGAGCCCAGGTCCCAGCCTCCTCGCAGACTGCCCTCTGCCCCCCCTCTCCTGGAGCCCCCCCACGCACAGCAGCTCCTGTGTCTGCCCGGAGGACAGGAAGGAAAGAGGCTGCCAGCTGGGGCACAGCCACCTCAGGGGGCCCTGTGCCTGCCCACTGGGCTCCTGGCCGGACACTCGCTTTGCTTCCAGCCAGACTGAGTCACCCCCTTTTCAGCCCCTGAGTCCTCCCCAACGGGGTCTCTTGGCTCTGGGTTCGCTCCCAGGGGCCCGGAAGCTCCAGATCCCCAGCCCCAGGCTGGCAGACTGCTGAACCGCCAGGTCTGCAGGCTTCCCTCCCTCCGTATGCAAGGGATCAGGTGGGGAGGTGGCAGAAGGCCAGGGAGCTGCCAGCAAGTCCCGGAGAGATACCAGAGCCACCTGCTAGGACTCTTCACCCTTGGGAGTGCTGCTCCCCCGCCCCTCCGCTCCAGGCTGCTGGCACCCAGCCACTCTGGCCAGGCACAGGGCACACCCCCTCACTGCCTTAAAATAGGTGGCATGACTTTTCTAAAAGTGGCGCCTGCTACATCCCACCCCATGGGTTCCACAAGACTCAGCCCCTGAGCACCCCTCCTAGCCCCTCTGGAGCCACCACTGCCTGGGAGACCACCAGGATTTCCCCTTCTCCCTCTCACTCCCGCAAGAGGCTTGATGAGGAGGCCTGGAAGCTCGGGTGGGACTGCTTATGACAAGGCAATAAAACACCATGCTCCCAGGCTGAGGGATAAAGAGGGGTGGCCATCCAGGCAGGGGGGCTGGATGGACAAGTGGATCCGGACTAATAGTGAACTCCTCATGATAACGGAGCACCTCCTGTGTGCCAGGCCTCACCGTGGTCCTCATTCTCACCCCACCAGAGGTCCCTTGGGGAAGGTAGGTGACGGGCCTCCCGTGGCATAGCTATTTTTTAAAATATATTTATTGATTTTTTTTTTTGATTTTTTTTTTTACAGAGAGGAAGAGAGAGGGATAGAGAGTTAGAAACATCGATGATGAGAGAGAAACATCGATCAGCTGCCTCTTGCATACTCACTACTGGGGATGTGCCTGCAACCAAGGTACATGCTCTTGACGGGAATCAAACCCAGGACCTTTCAGTCTGCAGTCTGACACTCTCTCCACTGAGTCAAACCGGTTTCGGCAGCGTAGCTATGGAGTGCGGAGCTGCACTGGCACAGAGGTCACCCTGATTCTGAGGCCTCTGACCTTCCCTGTGCCCCTCTGTTTCATTCACCACATATCGCAGCCTGCCTGCCCTGGGCCTGGGGCTCCGGGGCTCTGGGCCTGGTTCTTTCACACACGCGCTATGTGACTGTGGGCGTGCTCCCTCCTCCCTCTGAGCTTCCCTGCTCTAGGAGTCAAGGACCAGCGTCCACCCCTATGAGCTCAAGCCTTGCTCTCAAATTGTTTATGGTCTGTCAGCAGTTTAGTGTCTACAGACAGAAAGTAAAGTCACCCCTCAAAGACTGCAAGGTGGTCCAAGGATGGCCCTTGGGGTTGGGGCAAGCCCGGAGGCTTCCTGGAGGAGGCGGTGCCAGAGCTGGTCTACAGATCGAATGGGGCCCTGGCCAGCCTTTCTCAGTGATTAGCGCATTGGCCCTTGGACTGAAGGGTCCCAGGTCTGGTTCCCAGTCAGGGGCATGTACCTCAATTGCAGGTTCGATCCCCAGTCTTGGTCCGGGCACGTTTGAGAGGCAACCAATCCATGTGTCTCTTTCACGTCAATGTTTGGTCAGAGCACATGTCTGAGCTGCAGGCTTGATCCCCTGTCGGGCCGTGCAGAAAGCAGCCAATCAATTATTCTCTCTCATCATTGATGTTTTTGTCTTTCTCTCCCTCTTCCTTCCTCTTAAAATCAATAAAAAGAGGTTGGCCAGGCTGAGAAGAGGGGTGAGGGAAGGCCTGCCAGGAACAGAAGAGGGTGCTGTCATAGGCAGTGCGGATGCCCACTTTGCAGAAAAAAGCGGGGTGTCTGTCGAGGAGACCCTCGAATGCCAGGCAACAGGGTTTAGGCATCGAGAAGCCTCTGAGAATGACAGACATGCTCAGCCATGTAAAAGCCACGTGAGGTGAGCAGGACAGGTGTCATGAGACTCCCTGGACTGGTAAGGAAACGAGCACGGAGAGGGGCCAGTTCACATCACTCATCCGCACTGGACTCGGGCTCTCGCTATGCCGATGAGGGAGTGACACCGGAGAGCCTCCGACCCCTCCCTACCCTCTCCCGGAACGGTCATGGCTCAGACTCACCGCTCTCTATCTAGTCCCTCATCTTAGACGAAAACATGAAGGCCCAGAAGTGAAAAGTGAGCCCCCAAAGTCACCCGGCGAGGAGGGCGTCCAGGGGCACCGCTCCTGACCTCAGATGGAGAGCCCTGTCCACTCCCCCCCCACACACACATGGCAGCCAATGAGAGAGGCCGCAGGGAGACCTCTGACAGGCTGTCTCTCCAGCAGGGCAATCAGGGACTATCAGGAACGAGTAACAGAGGCCCCTCCCTCCACAGAGGACTCCCTGCTCTCTGCTCTTTATTACAGAACCGACGCCTGTGTCTGTCAGCGGTTCTGCTCAGGGTGGCACGCCAGTGACTCTTTCCATGGATACCTGCCTCCCTTTCCCACCAGACCCAGACCTGGGCCCTACATGCCAGAAACGTGAAACACGCCTGCACGAATCGCAGCCTTGGAAAGACAGACGGAGAGAGGCCATACGCCATAGCCAGGCCAGTGGGCCTCAGACTTCAGCACCAAAACCAGTCCGAGGGCTTGCTGGATGCAGCCTGCTGGGCCGGCTCCAGGAGAGCCCTGGGAGCGGCATTTCTTTTTTTTCTTTCTTTCTTTCTTTTTTTTTTAAATTTATTTTAGAGGACATTTATTAAAGCTTGGGATAGTGAAATAAGGAATGGCCTAGGTTGACAGGGGAAGGACTGGGTGGGAAAATGAGCCTAGGTGGGACTGCCTTAGCTCACTAAGAAGCCAGAGAAAAGGGGGCCATGGGACAGGTTCAAGGGGTTTGCTTGGGACGAACTGCCACTTCCCATTGCTGCCCTGGTTGCAAGACTCCTGGGGTCCCCAGCGTTTAGGAGATGCATCCCTGCGGGGAGAAGAGAGGAACGGCATTTTTTTTTTTTTTTTTACTCTATTGCTTTTTATAATAATTTATTAACTTATATAAGACAGCTATTTTTTTTTTTTTTTTTTTGTAAATATTGGATTGGGCTGGGTCTTCGGTATGAAATGCATGATTGCAAGTTGTGTATTCTCCTGACATATAATCATGTCATCACCCACAGGCAATTATTGATAACATGCCCTAACATTATCTAATTTAAGTCTACTGGTATTTGTAGTTTATAGTGTGTTGAAGATGTCTAAATAGTAACCCAAATTAACAAATTTGTTGATATTATTAAAAATGTTCTCTATGAGGACTTCAGCTTTGTCTCTGGTTGCTACAGGCCCCACAACACCTCACCTATACCTCTATTGCTCAATTCAATAATTTGTTATTTGGGGGAGGAACGGCATTTCTAACAAGATCCCAAGGGATGCTGACTTTGCTGGTGCCCTGATACTTTGAGATCCAGTGCGCTAGGTCAGCCCTCCCTTTTACAGCTGGGGAGGATGAGGCCCAGAGATCTCAAAGCAGCTCCTGACGGTATATCAATAGCAGCAGCAGCACCATCATCATCATCATCATTAAGCCCTGCTGACCCGCCCAGCACTGTGCACGCACTCCATGCCCCTCATCGACGTGGGCCTCGCCCGGAGAGGAAGGTACTGTGATCATCCTCTGACAGTGGAGAAAATGAAAGCAAAGAGTCATCTGTCCAAAGTCACACAGTTGAAGAGTCATCAGCAGGATCTGAACCCTGATCTAAATCTGTAGCCCACACGTTCAAACACCACGCTACACAGTTCTGGTTAGAGCTTAAGCTAGTCAAGGAATCTCCAGAGATTCCCAATCCCAGTTGGTTCATTCTTGGTGTGGGATGAGCTGTGCTCACTCAGTCCAAAGGCCTGGTCCTCGAGGGGGCCTCTGCTGTGCCCTGCATCTCAGAAAGCCGGCCACGCTTCTCCCCCTCCCTCCCCCCCAATCCTCACCGGAGGATAATTTTCCATTGATACTTGAGAGAGTGGAAGCGAGAGGGAGAGACACTGAGAGAGAAACATCAATGTGAGGGAGACACATCAATTGGTTACCTCCCACACCCCCCACCCCAACCAGGGCCAGGATCGAGCCTGCAACCAAGGTGCATGCCCTTGACCAGAACCGAACACTGGACTCTTCAGGCCGATGCTCTAGCCACTGAGCCGAACCGACAGGGCCTCCCTCTTAAGCCCGGTGAGCCCAGAGTATTTTCTCCACGAATAATTCTTTTCCCACATTACATCCTTCATCCGGCCCCACCAAAGGCCCTTCCCGGCTGGAGGGCAAATGTTTGAGTTAATCCTTCAGGCCCATATCCCAGCTCGACTTCCCCATTCAATGACAAAACAATGGAAAAAGTCTCCATCTATGTTCCATGGTGATACTGCATTGTCACCATCTGTCTCCACCATCAGACTGGGAACCTGTCTCCACCATCAGACTGGGAACGCAAAGGGCAGGGACCTCATCTGAGTCATGAGTTCTCAGCACAGTGTCCGCCCGGAGCAAGGGTTTAGTGATTAAATGATAAGAAAGAAAGGGAGGGAGGGAGGGAAGGAAAAAAAGAGAAAGGGAGGGAGAGAGGGAAGAGGATAGGAGCAAATGAAGAAATGAATTAGTAAATGACCAAACTCCCAGGAATTCCCTCTGCTGGGCCTTTTCTTTTT